CCCCACCTTGAGGGCAGCCCCTGGTGACTCTGAACCTGATAGCCTCGCCTTGAAGAGTCGTAGTTGCAGTTCTGTTTACTAGCACGGCATAGATCTAGCCAGTTATGGTCGATTCTATTACCTTCCTAGCCAGAGACCATAAAAGTGAAAATATATTGAGTAAAGAATAACAAAGATTGTTCGGGATGGAACTAATTTTATTTATACATTTTTGGTGAAAAAATAAAATCTACAGAATGTTGATGCTACATTACGTTATCAGTTTTACACATAAATCAATAAAATTTGTTGTGGTGCCTGGCCCGGTTGGTCTGTTCTTAAAATTTGTAAACTTTTAGAAAGTAGGTACTGGTGATCCTTAGCAATTGTTGAGCAGTATACATCATCACCACTTATTTGTTTTTTGCAACGTTAATTCACCCGTAGATAGCACTAAGTAGGTTTTTCTAACTTTTTTGGTTTTAAAAGAGTTTTTTCTCATCTCGTGGTAACCGCATGAGTAAAAAAAAATAAAGCAGACTTCATTTTTTACGAGCTTTCCAATGAGCCCATACACGACATAGGTTTACATTCGAAAAAAAAAAGTTGGGGAGGGTTGCAGCTAAGGGTTTGACAAAAATTATTTCATTTTATTGCCAAAAAATGCGTGCAACGTGAAATCAACTGACGTGTTTCAGCGTTTCTTTCCTAAAATACTGGTTAAAAAGATATTAATTGTATTCCGGACTTTTGCGCACCCCTGTATATGGCTCAAAGATGACTGACTGACTGACATAGTGATCTATCAACGCACAGCCCAAACCACTGGACGGATTGGGCTGAAATTTCGAATGCAGGTAGATGTTATGACGTAGACATCCGCCAAGATGCCTACGTCAAGGATTTTGGTCAGTTCTACCCCCAAGGGGATAAATAGGGGATGAAAGTTTATATGAAACTTCGTCAATTTTAAACTGATCGGACTGAGTCTTTGAATGCGAATAAATTAAGACGAACAAAATAATTTTAGTTCTAAATGTTGACAATAGATGGCGTTAGTAGTATTTTAAAACGCGCTATCGTTATGTTATCACTGAGTTACATATACCCGATGATGAGTGGCCGCCGTATCTAATGGTACATACTATACCTAAATATTTCTAGCGAATTATATTTGACGATTTTGGCTGTTCTTTTCTTGGCATATTTTGGATTGCATTTGCTTTATTTCGGTTTAGTAGTTTTGGTTATAGACTCTGCTTGGTATTTGGCATTTGTTTTGTTTTCGTTTGGTTTAAGTATAGGTTTTGTCAGTTAGACATTTTTAAAATGGCTAAAGAAAATCTGAACGTTAATAGAAAAGTTGAAGAATGTACTGTCTGTTGTCCCTATTGTTGGTGACGGTGCATGTTTGTTTCGTGCTCTATCTTATTTAATGTACGGAACACAAGATAGAGCGATGGAGGTGCGTTCAGAAATTGTCAGATATGTGGTTAATGACTGGAGCAAGTTTTCAATTATGACCCACGACAGGAATTGCGACAACTACGTAACACCTGACGAATATTTGGCTGATATGTTGAAAAATGCTACTTATGGCAGATTTTGTGAGTTAATAGCAGCAGAATTGATATTCCCATTTAAGTTTGAAGTTTATAGAAACGGTCTCATATACACGGAATCTGGATCTAACGACTATCCAGTAAGGCGATTACGATTCAGCAAATATTTGTCCAGTGGGCATTTTGATGCCTGTCTTCCCATAGCAGCACAGAAAATTACTCGGCGTCGTATGGAGGTAGCTGTAGAAGAACATGATTTTGGAATTGATACACCTTCGCAACTTAAAGTTGATAAAGGTTGTCAGGAGGCGAAAGCATTAAACCANAAAATAACGATTTGGTGTTGGCGAAAAAACTCCAGTAATATTCATATGTGGGGATGATGGCTATTCAGTCAACATACCACAATGCGATCCCACAACTAAGTTGTCCTTGAAAGAACCAATCTCTGCTGTAAGTTTTTATTCATACAGAATAATGATCAGAGAAGAAGAAGATAACTTTTTGGTTAAATATCACGCTCTTTTTAGTCAATATTTGGTAGGTGTATAGGCAAAAATAGAAACTGAATAAAAAAATAAAAAACATCAAGCCCAATTGCGCGCAGATAATTATATTCATTTAAAAGATGCAATTGGACGGCAGGATACTGAAGCAAATCAGTAGTAGCAAATGGTAGTACTTCCATCATCTTTTACTGGTGGACCAAGATATATGCACGAAAAAACGCAAGACGCCATGACCTATGTTAGACATTACGGTCGTCTTGACCTTTTTATTACTTTTACATGTAACCCAAGCTGGAGTGACATAAATGAGCACTTACTTATGTAACAACTTATGCACAACAAGTAGCAATCATGCCTCTCTCTAAAGTTGCTAAAAATATTTTACTAAGTTCATATTCAAGAATTATAGTGACAAATAGTGTTATAAAAAACCGTGGGTGCATACTTACAATATGAGGCGTCAACGGGACGGAGAATTCGTGATAGTCTACTAAAAATTACGACAACACCCTGACAAATTTCATTTGTATCTAAGGATTTCAGTTGAGGCATTCGACCTACTTTTGAAGTTGACTGAATGCAAATTGCAAAGAACTTCAACGAACTTCAGAGAAGCTATATCAGCAGTGTCGTCAAAATTTTTGAATTTTTCCTTAATGGGTCTGCTGGGTCCCAAATTGCCCTTCATTTGTACACAGAACTTATTACGCTTTCCTCCCTAGCTAGGTTACCCGGCTGGAATATCAAACACGACCTATTAGATTGGATACACGCCTGGCGTACCTTCGGATGTTTCTGGAGGTAAGATGGTAGTGGGGGGCCACTGCGGCTGCCGTCGTTCTGTTACTCACGTTTATAAATAGCAGGATGTTCGCCAGGCAGCTATCTACCATCCACCATCCTACCAACCTTCCTGCAGTGCGGCCCTAGCCTTAATGATATAGAGATAGATGAACGAGATGCGTTACTACTTAACCCATCGAAAACTTTCGGCAAGGCTCCTGGGAGAGAACTTTTCGCGAAAACTCAAAAACACGTCGGGTTTGTTTGTGAAGTGGATATGTTTTGAACCGGTAACCATTGCAAAATCTACACTTAATTCTTTCAATGAAATGAAAATTGATCGGTATCTAGTTTAAAGGGGCTTTTGATTTCCTATCCATTGCTTCATCGCTTTTGGAAATGGACCATTCGTTTGGAAGATGTTGAGTTTTGAAATGCCAACAATACGTTTGTCGAAGAATAATATAATTGAATGGACTGTAGTTCTTATTGTTCTAATTGAGTGCACGCTAGAAATGTTGTCCGTCAACCTCCACACAATAATGAAAGTTACATTTATACAATTACTTGTCGTATAATTTCGAACATTGACGGAGTCATCTCGAGATATACATTGATATTCGTCCTCGCAGGTCCAAATGAGTCAGGTGGAGTGTGTTATACATCGCTTTTTATGTTAAATCTGAAGAGGTCAAGTCGCATTACATTAGGAGGGGACATTAAATCCATAAAGTATTCAAGAAACACTCAATTGTGAGATTTTCACTACACAGTTTTACTCCTTGCTCTAGTTTGTTACGCGGTTTTTATTTTTTGCATCGTTAAACATGGACGCCAAACCTGGACCTTCTGGATTGCAGAAAAAAGAATATAATTTACATGTGTACAGTAGGAAAGCACTCACAGATGAAGAATTATTGCTGTGTTTGGAAGATAGCACTGTTGACGAATATTTGCCAGAGTCTGAAGATGAATATTCCTCCGAACCAGAAAGTGATTCAGGTGCACCAGTTTCGGTTGTAAATACCAATTCAGCTTCGACTAATGCGCAAAAGAAAGTCAATTGAACAAAAACAGGTACATTGAAACAGTTTACATTCAGAAGAAGCTGTTAGTACCGATTCAGGGCAGAGGCAGACCTATAGATTTTTTCAGACTTATAATTGACGATTCGTTTTGGTCCCAAATTGCAAACTAGACAAGACAGACCAGACAAATTCAAGTTTTTCTCAGTAGTGGAATATCTGCAAAGTCACGTATCACATTGCATTGAGAATATTTATATTATTTTGATTTTTTATGAGTATTTGGGCATAAACCAAATTGATTCTTGTATTCTAATATGATGTTACCAGTTTAGTTTTTATGTAGGGTTGTCCCTACGAACGACAACCCTTAGAAGTCGAAACTTGTGTGAGCTAAGGATTAACGAGGTCTTACCTTTTAACGTGTGATTCCTATAAAAATAAACGTATTTTACATAATTATGATATGTTCTAATCGTATTATTGTTAAAATGTAAAACACCTCCGATCGAAGTGTTCGGTATCCGGTGAAAATATTAATGCTTGACGCCAACCACTCCGATCGGAGTATTTTTTATCTTGATTTTAAAAATAGAAAGAGAATGACAAACATAATAACACTATTATTTAGATGATAAATGACATAAAGGAAGGCAAAAAAAACAAATAAAACATAACGGCATCCGAGAGTACCTACCTCAAAAATATGGTCGGCAGTCAACCTGTTAATAGATCCTGTATAATTATGTCATAGATGTTGATGTTTTCATAGATAAAATTGACTATTTCTGCTTCTACTCGCGATCTATTTCATCAAAATTTTGGTTCCGTGAAATTCTGTTAAAGCACGTTCCAGCAGGTTCCAAGCAGTGCATCATAAGTAAAAAAGCACGTTTTCAAANTTTCGGTTCCGTGAAATTCTGTTAAAGCACATTTTCAAAAATATTGTCGAGAATTCAAACGTCACCGTCTAGAAGTATATAATTTGGTGAATAGTAATATTAAAGAAGCAATAACATCCATCTACAGCTATTCGATCATCGATATATAATTTTTCAAATGTTTTCTTTGAATTTTTATGATTTACAGAATACGGACGATCTTGTAAAGACATAGGTTGCCCCAGTAATCAAAAATGTGTTATGGAGACCGATCCATGCAGCTATTACCAAAGACAAGGGGAATGTGGATCGTGAGTATAGCTGCGAATAATTTTTTTCCTAAGTAAAATACATCTTCTTTGTGAAAAGGTATCCAACGTGTAAGAGGGACACAAATTCGGCTGCCAGAACGTGTGCGACTTACGTGTGTCCCCCTACAAAAGTATGTAAAATGGATGGTGATACACCTAAATGTGTAGATGACCATAGCCAAGGTAAGTTATTTTCAAAATAATGAATAAAAAATCGAAAAAGCTTTAGCTATATTGATGGGCCGTAGTCCACAGCATCATCAAACTCTTCTAATTGATCTCTACTGAAATCTGTGTACTAGAACCTATGGTGGCATAAGCTTAGTGTACTGACACATTTTTCTATCAATTTTTCGATTTAAGAATCAAGTACTGATCAACAAAACTGTGATCATCCATAAAATTCCCATATGTGCTTCCTGTAATATCGGAAACCGTGTCTTCCAACATTATTCAGAATAACCACTCGACAACCCATAAAGAGAAATTTGTATAAACTGACAATCCATTTGTTTAGCCCAAAATAATCTGATCTCATCGGGCAAGCCATGTCTATTTTATGGCCATCCTTTTAGTGTCCATTACAAAATTATTGATAGCCTTTTGTCTTTAACAGTTTCAGCAGCCACTTGCATCAAGTTTGGTTCTAGTGACGATTCTCACATGTATATTTCTATAGCTGGAGGTTTTGGAATATTAGGCATTTCCACAAATATTCCATATTTGTAATTATATAATTTCTCACGCCAGCTATGATTGCCAAAGCTTCGCGATCATGTTGTGTCGATCGAGATACTGTCGATCTAGATACTGTCAACCTTTTTCATCAGCATGCCTCAATACTCTACCAACTCCATAAGGGCTTTCACCGCATGTTAAAGACAAGTGGTTTTTCTTTATTATAACCAAGGAAGAAGTATTCAAACATAAAATAAAACAACTATTTTTGAAACTAGCCCCTATAGAATCGATGAGTTTTTTTCTTATCTAGATTAGAAAAAATGTTTTGTATTATTTTTCATTTTGCTGCTTTGTTTCAATAACTCTTGTTATATAAATGTGTCTGTTTTATAGTTGTATTTTATATATGTATCTGATATGTACTGACTTGTCCAATTGCTTTTTTCATGCTCATTTCTAATGGATCAATAATTTTGTTTACCGTAGTGTGCGCTGGCCAGGCCCTATCCCCGAAGCCCCGATACATTCGGGTGGGCGCGCCAGCATTATCAACCAACGACCACTCCCCACACCGTGAGGAAAGTGGTCATTGGGTCCAAGAATAATGTGCCCTGAGCAAGCGCAGTGAGCCAAGAATGACAGCCTTCTGCATCTGTCCGGCTAAGATTTCTGCCTCGCTGCGGCAAGCCGGTATGATTTTAAGATTTGAGAGTAGAGAGGGCATCATTCCACCAAGGACATCCATCTTGACAGAGTGGTCTGCATAGAGTCTGCGGAGTTCGAAGAGAAAATCTCGATATTTTATCCGTTTTCCTCCTCTTTTCGTTCCCCATTTCTCGTTCCCCACAACGGATTCAATATACTCCAGAGCGTAGGGCAACACCGGTGTCTCGTCAATACCGTAAGAGTGCCGTAGATGGTAATATAGCACTCTTAGGGCCGAGTTATGTCGATGGATATAGGCCGAGACCGCATATGCTGGACATGATGATAGCAAGTGCATTAGGGTCTCGGGCGCTTCGCGGTAGGCCCTGCACTTCTATACCCATCACGCGACTGCGGTAGAATAAGGTGTTAAAGATACCATCCTGGCAAGCCATGATGAACCACTCAGTTTCCGACTTCAGCCCACTCAACCTGAGGAAAGCGAAAGTCAGGCGGTTTGATAAGCCAAAGTCTTGAAGAAAACCCCATGTATTGGGGACTAAGGTGTTAAAGACACCATCCTGGCAAGCCATGATGAACCACTCAGTTTCCGACTTCAGCCCACTCAACCTGAGGAAAGAGAAAGTCGGGCGGTTTAATATGCCAAGGTCTTGAAGCCAAGGTCTTGAAGCCCAGGTCTTGAAGAAGACCCCATGTATTGTGTTTCCGCAGAAACACAAGGATATTATCATTATTATTTTTTTTCACCGTAGTGTGCGCTGGTCAGGCCCTATCCCCCGAAGCCCCGATACATTCGGGAGGGCGCGCCAGCATTATCAACCAATGACCACTTCCCACACCGTGGGGTAAGTGATCATTGGGTCCGAGAATCATGTGCCCTGAGCAAACGCAGTGAGCCAAGAATGACAGCCTTCTGCATCTGTGCGGCTAAGATTTCTGCCTTAGTGCGGCAAGCCGATATGATTTTAAGACACGAGAGTAGAGAGGGCATCATTCCACCAAGGACTCCAAAAATCAGAACAGCCCTCTTGAAAGAGTGATCTGAATAGAGTCTGCGGAGTTCGAAGAGAAAAATCTCGATATTTTATCCGTTTTTCCTCCTTTTTTCTGACGATATTCGACGACAAATATCGTTTTGCTCTGGTGGTCGAGAAGGATTACATCAGGCTTATTAGCTTGTATGACCCTGAGGGTGGGGAATGAATAGTGCCAATAAATTCGGCATTTCTCGTTCCCCACAACGATTCAATATACTCCAGAGCGTAGGGCAACACCGGTGTCTCGTCAATACCGTAAGAGTGCCGTAGATGGTAATATAGCACTCTTAGGGCCGCGTTATGTCGATGGATATAAGCCGAGACCGCATATGCTGGACATGCTGATAGCAAGTGCATTAGGGTCTCGGGCGCCCCGCGGCAGACACCTTGTGTCAGGAACCTCTATACCCATCACGCGACTGCGGTAAACTAAGGTGTTGAAGACACCATCCTGGCAAGCCATGATGACCCCTTAGTTTCCGACTTCAGCTTCCGACTTTATCATTATTATCATTATTCATTGTAGTGAATTAATCCAGCCTCCTAGAATTTCATTCAATTTGCAGTCCATGAAAAATTTGAGGTGAAGTTTTTACACCGAATTGTGTTATAAGTTAGAGCTTCGGTACTGGCCTCATAAACGATCAATTGCTGATAGGCTTGTTTCTGATCTAATCGAGCTAATATTTGTCTCTTTTCCAATGTGGCCAAAACTTGTTGATTGCATAGAACTGGATAAATGTCTTTTAACAAAGATTCGTTTATCAAATCAAAAGGAATTGGATTCGGTTTCAGAGAGTAATATATAATGAAGACCTCCATATTTCACTCCATACACCAATCTGTTGCTTGAAATTTCATTAGCATATATTGTTTGTATCCATAATATTCGATGACAATTCATAATTCTCCTATATAGGGCGAAAAACTTCCATTGGGTAATTTGTTACGCTGATTCATCTGAAATCCGCTGATCACCAGTGATTTTTTTAATGAAATGCTCTCTGAGTTTTTTCATTATCTCCGTGAATGCAATTTTACCAACGGATTTCGGTGCAGATAATAAATGAATAAGGACGAAAGTTGAAGCTCCAACACTGAGAAAAGTTGTCCTTTTCTTCTCTTCGTTCCTGATTGAATTCGCCGCAAGGAAGAATTCGAAACTTTCTATGTCACTGATCCATTTATTCGGCTATCATGGATTGAATTGCTTTATTGACCCTAGAATAGCCATCGTGTTTTTTTTATCGGTATATAATCCCCCTTCCCGCCTTGATACTGTGCCGCCAGTTATTATGTTTGGATAAAATAAACGGTCATCTGAAAAGTGACTTTTTTTATTTATCAAACAATACATGATATAACATAACTTGCAACAGACTTCACTATTTTGAAATATAAAACAGACTTGACTATTACATAATATATAAATTGGCCAGTAGAGCAACTGAAAAGAAAACACAATTTTGGTGTATGGAAAATATTTTTGTTACCAAAAAAGGTACTGCTATATTTTTTTCTAGTGTTCATACTATACGTGTATCAAAAGTCTAATGGACAATGATTTCTACCATGAATGTATTAACTAGGTATCAACGAGGCATTTGTTACTAGTATCAAACCTGCTGTTTCATCATAATGGGCTTGTTTCATGCTATGGAAAATGATACTGGTTTGCTTATAGACTGATCGAGTTAGGGGTATATTATACTTTTCAAGCCTAATCGGTGACAAAATCTCTTTATATTTGCAGAAAAAAGAATAATTCGAAAAGCAAGAATTTAAATTGGCCGCGTGTCTGTTGACCAATAAAATTGATCGTGTCTTTCATAACTGTATATTATTAAATAATGCATAAAATCATAGTTTAGGTCAATATTTTGTGATCTATCGACTTTGTGTACTGATTTTAGATATAGAACTTATTTGCAAACAAGATTTTTCGTGTACATTTTATTCCATGTGGAGATTTTTCATTAATTGAAACGTCAACGGGTTCATATACACTTCCATAATTAAATTGATAATTATAGGCTACGTAAATTTTACGATTTGGCAATGTTGATTATTTCTATTGTTCCTAATATTGGTCAATCGAACAAGAAGCCGGAATAGGGACGTGACGTCATCACCCTACCACATTCGATTTTTAATAATTAATTACGGGAAAACTACTGTACAAAGTACACTGTTTTTTAATTTGAAATTTCTATCAAGTGAACTATAATCCAAAAATCATGAAACAAGCCCATTAGCATGAACAAAATAAGTTGTTCAAAACATTCTGTTCTTAGAAATCCGAATCAATTTAGTACAACATGGTTTTAAACAACATTAAAATCTCTTATCGTATTGCGACAAATTATTTAATTAACTGTCTTAAAAAAATTCATTTCCAACAATACTTCAATCATCACAAACTAATTTATTTATTAGAACACTTAGCAACTAACCATTAATTTATTTCCACTATTTGAATTTCTTGTTTAGCCGCTCGATTCACTTTCTGAACTGCCCTCTTGGGTCGGAAAGACGGGCTTATATCGGTAAAGGTCCTTTCGAGAATTCTGTAGTCGGTTCGGTACTAAAGTTTTACTGGCGGTTCCCGACTTCATTCTCTTGAGGTGAGGTCATGTGTTTTTTCGATGAGTCGGCTGGCGTATCGGTCAGAGGCGGCTTCAGATTCGTTACAGTATATTACCCAACGCTTAAATAAAACAAATATTTATTAATTTTTCAGTTGGTCTTGCCGGATATGACACACAAAGTCAGAATGTTATTGGCCAGCAACACTCTGGCGGATCACAACTGTATCCCAGCATACCGAGAGGAGAAACAACGCCCAGACCAAACATTCATCGCCAATCAATGAGTGGAGGATACCAAGGTGGCCAGATAGGATCTGGATATCCGGGACAGCAATATTCAAATAATAGAGGTGGATATCCACAGCAAGCCGGATATCCCCAGCAAGCCGGATATCCCCATCAAGGGGGATACCCACAACAGGGTTATCCACAGGGATATCCAAGTAAGTCAAATGTGCACTGCCAAACTTTTTGAAATCGAACAAATTGTTTTCATGTAATTTGTGATGGAATTGGCCAATGCTAGATGAAAATCCGTAATAGATTTTTCAACAACACTTTGTGAGATTGTCACACATTAACAGTGTACTAAACGGCAAAACGTATTTCGGTATAAAATGAATCTGTCAAAAACACATTTCCTACACGAGAACAAAAAAAACTTCCTCTCGAAACGCGTTTCGTTAACGAAGTTAACATCATCCGGAGATGATCAAGACTACATCTCCCGGCTACCTTGATGTTTTTATATACATGTTGACAGACCTTCACATCATCTAAAAAGGGTCATCAAATGGTTAACTAGTATACCTCTTTATATTTCATAGGTATTGTTCCTAATGTTAATTACTATTTGTTATGACAAACTAATCTTTACCTGTTTTCGACCTTAGCCTAATATTTACCTGTTTTCGACCTTAAGTTAGTTTGTACAAAAGTACAAGATTCAAGAGAACAAAATTTGGGCTAATAGGCCGTGATCGAATGGAACCTAAAGTACCAAACATTTCGTCCGTTTCAGTGTTATGGGCGTTGACTGTGACTGATCAATTGATACTTCCATTCCATTCGACCATGGCCTACTAGTTCAGATTTTATTCTATTTAAACAACTGAGTGTTGGGAATGGAACCTTTGTCTCTCTCTAGTCCTAACTTATTCCACATTTTTCTAAACTTCTAAAAACCTGTTGTCTTGTACCAGTCTCATTCCTCACTTAATCCACATTTTTTGATTTCTAAACTTCTGAAAACCTGTTGTCATGTCAGTCTCATTTCTCACTTATTCAGTAGCCCTCATAAGATGTGTTGAGCGACACCAAACTTCACATGAAACCGAATATGTGAGACATGATCCGTGTAGCGAGCTATTTGCTCAGTTTAACCAACATATTCTTTATTACAATCCTCACAGCTCAGTTTGTGATTCCCAGACTTTTTTATTTCAGTCGTCGTGTTTTTTGAGTTTCCCAACACTTTTGAAGTGTACGAGCAGTTCTGGAAGGCACTTTCATATTCAAATTTCAAAAAATTAGGAGCAATCCGTTTGGTGAATTTTGGTTCAAATGGGAGAACTATGAATTTTAAGTCTTCGTCTTTATGAAAAGCCCAGGATTTGAGAATATCTCCAAATTTTCGTTTTATTATTTTATCCACTATGTTTGAAAAATACCCCATGGTTTTTGTTTCTTGCATAATAATTTATTTCTTGATTTCATTTCTTTTTGCTCAAGAAGAACGTCTATGAACATGAAATTATAGTCAGGCCATTTATTGTTGACGACAATGGTAAGCGCTGTAAAAAAAATATCTGAAAGTGCCACTATCTTTTTTCTTCTATATACAGGCCGTTTCTTCTATTAAAAAAAAACCTGTTTTTAAAATGTGTTTTTCTGTTAATCAGCTATCGCTGATTCGACAACTCTCAGAAATTGAGAAACTTGTGCGAGCTAAGGACCAACGAGGTCTTACCTTTCAACGTATTATTCCTAACACGGTTGCAGACTCATCCCAGCTTCAACCAGATAAATTCTCTCGAGAAAAATATCTGGTCGAGGCGGAAATCGAACCCATGGAATTCCGATCGTGAGTCGGGCGCACAGCCACCGCGGCCAATTCCACATGGTAACATTGCTATATTCTAAACGGTAGCAGATCCGAAGGCGATTAAATGGGAAAAAAGGTAACTGTCATCGGGAACAATACAATGGTCGAAGAAAATTTACGGGGACTCTCGCCCTTCTCGAGTTATACGGGGAAAACCAAAAATGCTGTTTTTCGTTTTTTTCGAATGGAATTATTATTTCGGGGAATATAAGAAAATGGAAAAGGAAAATGTTATTGTATTCGAAGTGTACTATGACGATGTAATAATGAATATTCTTAAATAAACAAAGAGAAATCACATTTAAGACCTTACGGTTGCGCATGGGTATTATCGCATGTTAACCGCTTGATAGATTGTTTTTGTGAAGACTGGTGAAATGACAGTGGCCAACCATATCTATTTTTTGTTCTGCAACAGCTAGATTCAACAAAAACTACCAGTGCAGAAAAAACTAACAGTGTCGTCCATTTCAAAACGTTTACTACTAATTAAATAAATTCTACAAATCTAGAAGGCCTTCGACAGAGAATTGTTCGGGAATGCCAATTTCTGACTCCCCACATCTTCAATAAAGGAACCCTTTCGAAAATAGACTGTATTATTGTTTGGAACTAGATGGAGGTCATTTTGAACAATTTATCCGTTGTTGTTTTGCCATTGATATTACTTTTGTTGATTTCCTCAATAAAATGAGCGACAGCGACGTTCAACATTTAATTTCTCAATATTGAATGAACTGATTTAAAAAAAAATTACAGAAGTAATAAATATATGGACAAAAGACCATTCGAATGATGTATCACTCGACCCACCATGCCATTTAAAAAATAGAGAATATAAGAATCAGTCCCCCTAGAAATAAAAATTGACGTGCTCTTTGAAATTTTCGATTACACGTCTGTTTATGACTTACGGGGAGAGGGTCAAGTTTTTGTAGGAACGCCCTGTATAACTCTTGAATTGATAGCAATATCAACAATCAAATAAGCTAACGAATTTCAAACAATTATTTGAACTTCTACTTGGAATTCTCAATACACACTTTTTAGGTCAAGGCGGTTACCCGCAATACCCTGGCTATCAACAAGGAGGTTATCAACAAGGAGGTTATCCACAAGGCGGCTACCAACATATACATAACTACTGTTGGCTGGAAGTATGACAGAGTCTGAGGTGGATCATAATTTATATCTTTCAATTTACGCCCACTTGGACAACTTTTCACCACGCAAATTTTGTCCATTATTGCTTATAATTTATTGCAATGTATTACCTACAACAGTAAGCACTACAAAATCATAAAAAGTGTTATTTGAAGCTGATGAGAAAATTCAATCAATGTCTACACGTTTTACCACAGCAATAATTTTAGGTTATATTGACGAAATTCGTTTGGACTAGGTAAACATGTAAGGTCTTGTATGTTACACTGTCACTAACTTCTATAGTTATTGAATATATTAAATTTCCTAACTCAGCATACTTCAATCAGTTAACAACTGCTTAATTCGTATCATCCTCCCATATCATACTCCTTACCTCTACCCTCCATATGAAGTACAAAGCAAATGAATAATGAATGTACTCAGAGAAGTCGTTACCATCAAAGAAGGGGTACATTTTCAAATAAAAAGTGGATTTTAAGGAATCCCATGATTTAAAACGTTCTAGCCATTATTGATCTTAGAATAATTGACGTTTTTGCTTCTATGAAGGTGCTCGAAATTTCTGCCTTCACGTACCTACTACCTACATGTATATAGTTCGTCAAGTAACATTGACATTGTTCAATTAATACCAAGCTAAAAACTCAATGTGTGGCTTTGAAATTGCCCTATTTAGTTATATCCAGTGCTTCCATTATAACATTAATAATGTATTTCCTTTTCAGGGCTATTCTGTATAATGTTGAACTATTTAATATCAAGGATGTATGGCATGTGATTTATTCCATCAGATATATTAAATGAAATAACTTCAGCATATATGAATATATGTAGCAATAATAAATCTTGAATTTTTCACAATGGTATTTGTTCAGTTGATGGTAAGTAAACCAACAATTACGTCTTTTTTCACGCTTGCGGTGGTAGATAAATCTTAATAGAATAGCCCCATCTTCACGCTAAAAATGTTTCAATGGTCACTAATATATCTAATACTGTGTTAATCGTTTGAATGTATCTAATTGAACGACGGAAATATTTATTATATTTTGTTTTTCAAGGTGGATTTTTCACAAGATTTGGCTAAACTGAAGACCATTGTGACAGTGCAACAACGATCTGTTTTTATTCATATAATTGTTTATTTAATAAACAGAATTTTTCACATCTTGTTTCATTTCACTTATTTTTAAGTATTGTGTATTAATAATAACGATAGCGTTTATTCACATTTGTTTTTTCTCACATGGTATGTTTCCTCAATCTAGTTTAATTATTAAATAAACAAAGAGAAATCACATTTAAGACCTTACGGTTGCGCATGGGTATTATCGCATGTTAACCGCTTGATAGATTGTTTTTGTGAAGACTGCAGTACTATGATCCTTATTATAATCAGAGAATGGTGCCTTGGGATAATGACGTTTTACATTGAACTCAACGCTGTAGATTACATTTGGAAAAACCATCGAGGAAAGAATGAAACAGTTCTTGAGAAGTATAGTTCGAGGTGTATTGAGTTCAACCTAGAAGCAATGACATAACGGTTCTTGGTGAAATCAAGGCAAAAGTCAATCAAACAGTTTCTCAACCAGACACTAAATTTTCCTTTGATGTTCCAGAATATCAATATCACTTATGATATATGTGGATAATCTAGCAGACTCAAATAAACACTGGCATCTTAATGGACTGGAAAGACAAGCAGGCTATCGTCAGCAAAGCAAAATATATTGAATTCTTGGTATTTTCCAATAGGTCGTTGAATGGAATGGAAATAATATAGATTCTTAACCAACATCAGCGTTGATGATAAGGGAAAGGGAACCGTCGGTGGTTACTTATAGTAAAAGGTCTTTGGGAAAATTGAAAAGCTAAATACACTAAGCATTCGCCATGTCTAGTCGAAGGTTGATAACTGAACATTAATTCCGACCACGAACAGATGCCTTGGAAATATCAAGTACAACATCCTGAGCCTTTTCCATGTTTCTCAATTGCATTGTTCCAAAGGAGGGTGAAATATGCAAAAAAGGCGCCTGTTGATCTTAACTTGCGGAAACCATGTCTATGTTGAAGTCTTCCAAACATAGAATATGTTTTCTGTTCTGTTGAAAGCAGTTGTTTCCGTAAATCATTAGCTGTGACTTCCAAAACTCCTGACGGAGCTGTTTCGAACGATAAAGTGGTGCATGGCGGAACCACAATTGAATTGATTCATTCAAGTGTCTTTACTGGATAAGCCGGAGTGATTGTTGATTCCAGAGATAGTGCTTTCTCAAGGGCGGATGTCATCGTCTCTACTTTCTGAGCTGTTCAGCATAGCACCACTGATTCGCAAGACTCGCCTATTCAAAAGCGTCTGATAACTTCACCCACTGGATTAGTCTCCATAGTTTCATCGATGGGGTTCGTGGTACGGAGCTGCAGCACTCGTGAGAATAGCGCTTCATGAACAATTAGATGAATCCACCATTTATGACCTAGAATACAAAGCTGTCAAAAATGCTTCGAGCCAACAACGAAACGTTCTAGTGAGGACCATCAACGAAATGGAAGATGAAGAAACAGATTGATTAATGGCAGGTCTAGAGAAACTCTAAGAAATATTCAATAAATGGAACTGCACCTAAGGCAAGAGGACGGGCTAAAATACTATAACTGGGGCAGAAAGGGACATTTTAGGTGGGACTGTCGCTCACGTTCAGAAGCCTCCAGGTATTCTATTTCTACAATAGGACGTGGAACCCCAACAGTAACAGCTTAGTTGTCGACGGATTTCAGAATAATCACCAGTGCCTTTTCACTGTCGATACTGGAGCAACGAGGTCACTTATGAGGGCCGCCATTTCCAACACGAGCAGTTTGAAGAAATTATCAGTAGTACCCATCTGGGAAGAGCCACTGGAGATTGACTGACAGTCTACGGAGAAGCTGAAGTGAGACTTAGGCCTCAAAATTGTCAAATAGAAAGCAAGGTTATTATAGTACAATTCCATGATAGTAGGCACTAAATTCTCAGAAATATTATTGTATTAAAACGAAAACATTGTTTTCGAGGTTGTAATTCTATACAGGGCTTTTCATGATGAGCGTTAATTAGCCGTTTCTGACAAACTATTTAACGGATCAACCTGAAAATTTCACAGTATGCATAAATCAATATGACCTACACGCCTAAAATATTTCAGACGAAGCGGCGTTGTCGCTTCTACTATAAAGTAGCGGCTTCTTTGATTTTTCAAATGGAACACCCCGTATATCATATTATGATTCATTTTCACTTTGTCANAAGGTGTAAAGGTGACCTAGTGAATAAATGCTTGTGTTTTTAAATAGTTTATTTAGTGAAAAAGAAGGCTGAAAAGTTGCCCTTTTCTGAACTTTGAAGGGCCGTAACTTTTTAAATAAGGGAGAGCGCCGCTTTTTTCTTTCGGATTCGTAATCTACGCATCAAAATACGTAAGTACAGTCAAAAATTTTTTCAAAATCGCCGGGTGTCCAGATAACGAAAATTTACCGATTTCGAAAAATATTACAGAAGTAATAGATGGACAAAAGACCATTCAAATGATGTATCACTCGACCCACCATGCCATTTAAAAAATAGAGAATATCAGAATCAGTTCCCCTAGAAAAAAAATTGACCTGCTCTTTGAAATTTTCGATTACACGTCTGTTTATGACTTACGGGGGGGTCAAGTTTTTGTTGAAACGCCCTGTATAACTCTTGAATTGATAACAATATCAACAATCAAATAAGATAACGAATTTCAAACAATTATTCGAGCTTCTACTTGGAATTCTTAATACACACTTTTTAGGTCAAGGCAGTTACCCGCAATATCCTGGCTATCAACAAGGAGGTTATCAACAAGGAGGTTATCCACAAGGCGGCTACCAACAAGGATATGGCCGTCCATCATCAGGATCAACCGGAAACTCCTTCACCGATCAGATTAGCAACTCTCTCAAATCGATAGGTACTGATTTACTGAAAAATGCTTTGAGTAAAGCTTTGTCAGGAAAAAACTGAATATATGTGCTGTTCACTAATTTTACTAATTTACTCATATCAAACTGTTTCTATATTCATTTTGTTAGTTTTCCAAAATATTGTACACATATTTAATTTTGTGATATTCTTCAATGTAAATAGAAAATTATTTTATGTCTAATTACCAACTAATATGACAATGAACAACAATATCTTTATTGCAAATAAATTGAACACAGTGTTCTTTAATTATATGTGAATATTTAAGAGTAAAAATCTACATAAAAATATAAAGATATGTTGCTCTATAACCGGTGGTCCAAAAATGCGGAGCGTTTTTTCGGATTTGCAAGATTAGTACCCAAAACCTCCATGTCAAGTTTTCGATGGCCCAATCTGTATATTCCATTGTTTTCTTAAAACTTCAACACCTCTTATTAGCATAACGAAACATTTTTGGACCATATTTTGTATAACATATCATTATTTTTCTATGTAGATTTACACCCTTGAATATACGCATATCAATTAGGAACGCCCTGTGTATGTTTTTAACGCTACGAGTCTCAATATCATTTCAATTCAGAAGTTGATGTACTGTGGAGGGTAGAGGTAAGGAGAACCGTCTCTGTGTGTGAAAAAGTGTCCGTTAAAATATGCTAAATGGTGGCGCTACAGTAGCAACAGTAAATTTTAAAACAAGGCGCTGAAAGTTACTAGAATAGGATAGAGAAGTAATAAAGGACGAAAGAACTTCCGTCTCGTTATGACGCACTTTTCAAAATAAGAATAAAATGAAAAACAAGTTTCATAATCAATTGTTTGCTCATCTCGCGTGTATCTGTGAATAAGAAACAATTTCATTGACTACAAAAATTGAAAAATAAAGGACGTTAAAAATGTTGTCCTACAAAGCAATTAAAAAA